CGAAGACTGCATGGCAACCACATAAAATGGGTGCACGAGTCTACAATCTTTTGTCAAAAAAAAAAAAAAAAAAAGTTAGCAGACGATATTTTTTTTCTCGCCCTTTAAATAATAACACCGTGAAACGATCCATAATGGCGGATATGGTTTGCGCCATTGTCGTCAGCGAGAAAAACGGTTTCAACTTTCGAGTGGCCCGCACCCTGAAAAACGGGCTTGTTTTCAAGTACTTTTTGCTTGTATATACCTTTTTACGGGTTTTGATTGAGCGCCTCTTCAATGCTCATATGAATTAACGGCGAAAAAAACACTTATTGTGTGTATAATAAAACACTGACGGGGAGAAAGTAAAGTTTCATACTTTCCCCATATAGTTCGCAAAAAAGGGGAGAAATCCGTAAAACCACAACTTTCTTAAATCCACCCCAAAATCATCCAATCTTTTCAAGTATTATATAACCGAAACTGTCTTTTTTCGAAAATTACGAAAAAATATTTTTGTAATTAAAAAAATTATATTTAAAATTTCTGAACGAAAATTTTGATCTGTATACCCTTTAAAATTTTTGAATTTTTTATTAAGGACTCAAATATGCACAAACATGGATGAATATTTAAAGATTTGATTGACCATATATCCGTAACGATTTGCTTATATGACGACGCGACAACACTTAATAATTCCACTGACTGCGTCAAGTTAATATAACTCTGACATTCTATGATTAGGGTGCATGAGGCATGAAACTTGGTCCATTCATGATCACCAAATAAACGTTATTAATTAATTGCGAGTATCAGCAAAGCTTTTGCTTTTGCAGGTTCGCAGAACCAAGTATATGCCATTGTAATTTCCTAACTCTCTCTCTCGACATATAGTCAATGACGTATTCAAAATTTCAATGTGTATCAAATAATACCTCATTTATAAAATGAGAAGCCAACGAATCAGCATTTTGATTGTTCTTGTTATTTATAGCTTTCGTATTCTAAACAATGTTCTATGGAAAAAAGTGAAAATATAAAAAATATTCTAAAATTTTTAGAAAATTATTATTATCCTAATAATAAATTTATTTATTATTTGCAACAAATTTGTCAAAACGATTTTATGCAAATGTGGTAAATATGCCTGTTTATTTCAATTTATTTGAATTGATTAAAACTTTTTGTGGCAGGAAAAAAAAAGTTAGAAAAATTTAAAAGTTAAGGAATTTTTGTAACAGCAGGTTTTCTATATGCAACATTCTATTATACAAGTTTCATAAAAGTTTGGAAATTTTTTTTTTTTTTTTTTGCTTTTTCTTCTCTTTATTTTTTTTCTGTTCGAAGATAGAAATAAAACAAAAGTAAAATGAATAAAGTTTTATAAACAAAATTGGGTTAAACATAGGTCTGTCAGGCTCTATATCTTCAATATCGTATATAATATACGTGCCCTATTTACCGGTTCGTGGTGGCGTATAGTTCGTGACTGCGAACAGGAAAGTGGACGATCCGTGTAAGATTAAAGGAGCTTGAACTACGAACACTGAATACTAATAAGCTTCGCGATTTAAAAAAAAAAAAGTGCTCCATTTTTCTCACCTAAAGTGGTCACACACGGAATCCTTAATAGTTTATAGTATATTCCCTAATTTTTTCATTTGACTAAATTTTTCTCCTCGATTTTATCTCAATTATAAATTGTTCCAACCTCACACCCAAGGAATTATTTATTTGAATTAGAGAACTAAAATATTTTTATTAATTAAAAATTTTTATTTTTACAATTCTGAATTTTGGTTTTCGTGAATGAAAAAAAATTATCGAGAAAAATAATAGTGTATAAATATTCTTGTTTTGAGAGGATAAAGTACCAGAGCGGAAGAGTACTATTCCTCATGAATTTAAGATTATTTTGATGTATAATGAAACTAAAAAATGCGAAATGAGACAATTTTTGTATACACACAAGTAGAAATTTTTTTTTAATAAATCTTTTCAAGGGTGTAAAAACATTTTCATAAAGAAAAGCTATTCTTTTGAACATACTTTTGCATACAAAACAAGGTAATTTCTTCTTTTTCATATACACGAGACTGAAATACATATTGCATCGGAATAAAGAAAAATCCTGGAAATACGCAATTTCAGTGCAAAAGATTTCAAAAGTGCTTTGGGCCAAACCTTTCTTTTTGTATTTATAGGAAAAACACCTGCGTGTATGTATTCAACTTTTTTTCTCCTTCTTTGTAATGATATTTAGAAAAAAAACATGATAGGTGTGAACCATAAAAGAATACGTAAAAATTTGCATAAAGGAAATAATCGATAATAATTTTTTTTTATAAAATAAAAAATATAGTTGCAAATATTTAAATTATTCCTTTTTTGAAAGAAAACATATATATTTTTGAAAATCTAGAAAAATTTAATATATAAATATTTAGAATAAAAATATCATTTTTTTTATATAATAATGAAAAAAATATCAAGACGATATCAACAAAAAAAAATATCTCGTAGGTGCAATTCTTGAAGATTTATTTGAAGAGCATGAATTCCTCATTAGGAGAGAAGCGTGGGAAGAAAAATCCCCATTCAATATCAATAAGTTTCTCATCCCACATTGTTGAAAAGCCATTTTCATTTTCTTCGCATACTTGGTGGTCGACAATTGTTCCCCCACAACATCCGAAAAAAAACTCGGAAATTTTTTTGGTATTTGACAAAAAAATATATATATACCAACACGTCGTGAGAGGTTCAATTGTCATATATAGTCTTCACGCGTACTAAAAATTACGTGTGTATTGCCTGGTGATCTCTCTCATGACAAGTTCAAGTTTTCCAGCTATTCGCAGGAAATTTTCCAAGAAAAAGTCATTGTCAAAAAAAAATTGCTAAACGACGTTTAACTGAGAGATGGTGCGAGCGCGTATCAAAGACGGTGCCGACCTGTGAATTGCACTGCGTGGAGAGTGACAATTTTTTTCGACTTTTCAGAAATACGTGGTCCCATTCAGAAATTTTTTTTTTTTTTTTTGAATGAAAAATACTTCATTGTCGTTCTTCTCGAGTGCGTGAATGGAGGGAAAAAGTAGTATACAGAAGCAAAAGTCAAGTCGAAATTTTGGAAAAAAGGCACCAAGAGACCGCATGCTGGGTTATTCGCCTGGTGACACAAGTGTTGACCATTGTTATAATTTCGAGAGTGACATTGTCGGGGTTGGTTCTTAAGACCATTAACTACGTTTTACCTAAAAATTTAACCTAAAGTGGGGGCCCTCTCGACAAATTTTCAGAATTTACGTCCATAGAGAGAGAGAGGGTATAATAATATAACTATAAGGTATAACTTATATATATTATATTCGAAGGATGAATGAAATTTGAATGAATGACCGCCAACGGTAGTAGAATAAAGGTTTGTAGTATTTTTTTTCTTCTACGTGTCCATTTTTGAAAATCTTGCCCCATACGTGAAATCCCGCGGGAACACTTTCGCGTTTAAATTGACGACGACCTTTTAAACCCTCTGCAGTTGATTCGTTGTAAATATAGTGACCGCAATCGCCGGCGGTCTTCAATTGTTATACACATGCAATGATACCGCGTGCAACCCTCAAAATCACCCCCGATGGTGGTCCAGCATCCAAAGGGGTAGGAAAAAAATTATAACCGTATTTCCTGTTGTACAAGAATTTTGCTTCTTTTTCCCCTAGGGAATTTCAAATTTTTTGATAAAAAGGAATCGATGTTTTTAATATCCTATAAATTTATATTTTCAAACAAAAAAAGATTTAGAGAAAAATTTACAAAATATCCTATAAATTTATATTTTCAAAAAAAAAGATTTAGAGAAAAATTTTCAAAATAATTTAAAAAAATTTTTAATTTTTTTCAAAATAACATAATTTTTTTGGAACTTTATTTTTGTAGAAAAATATATATGAATGGCGAGAGAGATTTTTCTGTGAATTCACTTTTTTTTTACTCCTCTGAATATTTTCAGTTTATATACGTTTCACCTTTTTATTCCTCTATCTCTGTTTTCTTTGTCACGAGGTTTCATGCCAGACAGTTGGTCGCCAACCGTGTTCCACCTACAATTTCCCGTTTGAAGTTTTATACCCCGGGTCTTCTACATTTCACAAAAGTTAGAGAGAGAGACCCCATTAGAGAGTTTATATTCTTCCCCGTGATTTATGAATCCTACTAACCGACAATTGGATTTCAATTATAAACTTATTTTCCATTTTCAAAATATTTTTTTTCCCGCCTTATAAATAATATTAATTTTCACATTTAATAGATTTTTCTCATCTTTTATTAAATTTTAATCTATATACAAAATTTTTTAATTTGTTTTTTTACAACTTCTATAAAAACGGTAAAATCGGTTAAATTCATAGTTATCGCTGTTAAAAACAAAATACATAAATAACGTTTCTGAATATGTTTCATTTTTTTAAATTGGTTTTTTTTTTAATTTATTTTACTGTAACTAATTTAACAAATGTATTTAAAAAATTTAGTTACGAGTTTTTATCAAAAGAATTTATCCGTTTGCAAAATTTCGTATATTTAAAAATTAATTTTGAAACTCTTTTTACACGCCCTGAGGAATAATTTACACTAAAATTACTAAAAAAAAAAAACCAATAAAAAATTAAAGAATTCTTATTTTTGATTCGTATAAATAAATTCCATATATTAATTTTTATCTCTTTTACTGTGAAAATGGATTTAGTATCTATATAACTTTGATAAAAAACTATTAAGAGATTCTTAATTGAAAGTGACAGATTTTTCTAAAAAAAACTAAGCAAAAAAAGTCTGTCACAAAATAATTAATTCTCATACTTGAAATATTACTTTATTAAACATCATTGAACAAAAATATTCTCCAAGAAATGTCAATCAATTTAAATTTTTAAACAAAATTTAGTTGTATTTTTAAAATTATTCGAGTGTATACCATGAAAAGCAAAGGGTAAAGAACAAATTCACAAATATTCAATATATAATTATTTTATTCTTAAAAATATTTCATTTTAAAAAACATTTTACATTTTCATATACAATATTTACAAATTTTCATTTTATGAATCAATTTTTTTTTTGTTAAAAAATTTTTATAAATACATTTTAAAAAAAAATTTAATTTGCTTAAGAATTGACAATATTTTCGACAGTGTGTTTAGTGCAGGAAATAGTAGTGAAAATTGGCGGCGTTGGTATTGTCGTTGTTTGCATACTGAGAACAGTTGAATAAGATGGTGAATCAATTCTTTTTCTTTTTTCGATTGGTGTCGATTCCTGATAGGAATCCAAAGTTCGTTTACGGCTCGAGTCCAGTACATCAACTTGTCTCAAGGAGTTTGAAACGAGAGGTGGATAGCGAAAAGGATGCCAATTGGACTTTGCATCAACAACGGACGATGTTGGTGAATTAGTTGTAGTGGGAAACTCCTCGACAAAGGAAATACGACCCGCTGCCATCGTCGACGAAAATTCAGATCCTTCGATAGCGACGTTACTCGAGGTAGTAATATTGCTCTTGGAATCATCGATCGACGTTCTTCTCTCCTTCACCTTTTCACCTACAATTTTCCCTGACTCGCTACCCTCATCATCTTCATCTTCCGCCACATCCGCCTCCTCATAATCATCGTCGTCGCTACTTCGTTTTCTCATCATTGTCATCATTTCCAAATTTTCACATTTTCCATTGTCATCAGTGCATCCGTCTTCTTTTTTCTTGCCACATGTACGTAGACAACAACATTTTTGTCCAGTTTGTCCAGTTGGTAAATCCTCCTTCTTGTATTTGACACGACGATTTTGAAACCATATTTTCACTTGTTTTTCAGAGAGTCGTAAATTTGTTGCAATTTCAATTCGTCTTAGACGCGAGAGATACATGTTGGCGGAAAATTCACGTTCAAGTTCAAGTAATTGGGTACTGGTGAATGCGGTTCTAATTCGTTTCGAACTACTGTTAATGGAATTCGGAGATTTTGGCGGTGGAGTTGGTGAATTGCTTTGACGCGATGGCGATGTATTCGCTGCTGAGAAATCTGTAAAGACAAGAGAGAGAGAGAATGTGTTAAATTTACAGATGCTTCAAATAATCTTATTCGTGCAAAATTTTATTCTTTTTCTCTGAATCGGCAAAAAATTTATTCAGAAAATATATTTTTCAAATCATTATTTTTATCGAAAAAATAAGTTTTTTCAAAAATTCTTTCTTTGAGAGAAAGGAAACAATTTTTGATTCGAATTATTTTTCAACTTAAATAAATGTTTTGTAATAAAAAATCAGAAATAGTAACTTTTTCAAATATGAAAAAGGAAAAATTGATAATTACCAGATAATCTGCTAGCGGATGAATTAATCGGCGAAGGTGGACTCTGACCGCTCATTGGAAGTCCAACAATAGTTTGAGGATTGCAAATTGGCACGGGAACAACGGGCAAAGTTGGCGGTCTCGGCACTGGTCTAACCGGATGATATCCAAGACCCAAATTAAATAAATTGAACATATAGTTGGGAATTTGATTGCCCGCATAATAAGGCAAGGGATAATTTGGTGGTGAATTATTCCCAATCAACGAATCCACCAAAAAGCTTCGTGACATTTTTTCTTCTCACTATTCACAATTATTTTGCGAATCACAAAAATACACTTCACGCTAATCCACAATTCAAAAACAAAAAAAACACAGTAAAAATTGTCCAAACTTTTCTAAATCAAGAAGATCCTAACAGTTGAACGGTGCAACGAATTCTGAATGTCAAGGGGTCCAGTTCGAAAATATATAAGGATGAGAAACTCCACCCAGGGGTTGGTTTAAAGAAGGGGGTCCCCCTTTTGTTGGGGCCCCGCCCTTGAAGGGTGCCCCCTTTAAAGGTTCGTTTCACCCTTAGTGACGTTGAGGGGGAAAGGAAGGGAATGGAAAAAAAAATGTTCAGTCCCCATGAGAGTGAGTAGGGCAATTTTCTAAACGCTAATTCGACGGGTGGTAATTTTCGGATGGTTACTTTATATGGTATCGCGGAGGCACTAGTGAGTTCTCTCTTTTCGATGATGCGACCCTCGTGCGAGAGTTCCCTATTGCAAGCGGCGTGGTCCCAATGTAACCCGCCTTTCAATGGAAAAAAAAAAGTGAACGGCATTTTGTTCCCAATAACATTTATATACTTTTTAATATAAGGCACAAGACTTCTGTATATTATATAATGACTCATTTGGAAGCATTTAATCATTTTGGCAAAAAATATTATATATGCAAAAATCCAATTTAAAAAGAAGATTGAAAAAAAGATGGAGAAAAAAATTCTTTGTCTACTTTAAAATTTTTATAATTCATTCTGTTATTTTTAATTCGTATTTAATTTCTTTTGAAATTAATTCTTTAATACTATCCGAATTTAAATTAGTGAGAATTCGTTCAGAAAATTCAGCTAATAGTATAAAATTAGATATAAAAATAGGCTAAAATTTGATTAAAATAGAAATTATTCTAATACCTTATGGAGATAAATTGAGAAGTATATTTCTGTTTGCACGAATCTTTATAAACGAAGCTCTATACATTGTCATTTTGTGGTAAATTTTCTAATTAAATAATAAATTTCTAAAATTGATGTGCTGCAATTTTCATTGGGATTATAGTTGAAGTTCCATACGGAGAGCACAAGTGGAATTTAATCTTCTTGATCTAATGATCAGAGTTGGTAGGAAGAAAATGAAATTAGAGCTTGATAATGAAACTGAATTACAAACTATAAATAAAGTTATATACGCGTTGCTTCTCGTGAAAGAGAATGATTTTATATATATTTCATATCAATAATTTATATTTCGGAATAAATTGCATTCATCAAACTATTGGAGTCTTTTAGAAAACCAATTTTTTTAATAGAATTAACTAATTAAATTTTTTTTGCCTATATTAATTTATAAATAATTTCATATTTATTTCAAATAAAAAAAAATTGATATGAAAATTATATTTTTTGTAAAAAAAAATCGAGTGTAAATTTTTTATATAATTTGCAAATGTCCAGATGGCTGACATTATCTTTTAAGCTGAAAAATATGTTTGTTTTTCTTTTTTTATTTTATGGATCATCTATTCGATATAATTTAACCGGCGTGTCGAACTTAACCCCCTCCCACGCAAACGAGAATCATCGAGCGTAAAATTAAAGTTTTACGCAAAACAAATATAATGATCATTTTTGGCCTCGTCATTGATTGCTCGTCGCGTGTGTTTATTTTACACCTGCGCTTTGCCATATAATATATAAGGGTCAGTGTAACTTTTATCGACCATTACAAAGCAATTTTATTTAGTGAACTAATTATTTAAATTCCACACTAATTTTTTTGGAACATCTTTGAAAATTATTCCAAAAAATTATATAATAGTAATTATTATTATTAAGTATATTATTATGATTATAATAATAATTATTACTACTATTTATTATTATTATTATAAAAAATAGTAATAATAGTAATAATTATTATTAATTTTATACTAATTTTAATAATGTAATCAGAGAATTTAAAAAACGACACCCGAAAAGGCAATAGGATTGTAATAATAATTTATGAGTGGTGGAATATAATCGAAAGACGTACGCGCTTTTAATAAGGACTCTGACATATTTGTCTATGGCGAAGCCACGATTTCAAACCCTAATAACACGACTAATCCTATTACATATATTGTTACCCTTATACACGAGGCGCAAGGCATCCCCGAATATATATTCTAGGCACATTGAAAATCATGGTAACGCTATATCTTATGGTTGTCGTGAATATTACATATATATATACACAATAAACAGCATATGTCCTGTATATATGTATAGAGATAGTATAAGGGACCCTTTCTCCTGAGGGTTGTGCAATATAACGCGGACGGGCACTTGGATGCAAAGGGGTGTATTTTATCAAAATCAGTACTGGTATATACAAAAAAAACTTCCTCTCTCTCATTACCAATAAAGGATATTTTCATTTCACATACAGGGAGAGAATCTCCCTTATTTATATGTATGTGAAACAATCCCATTGGTTCCCAACATTCTTTAGGGGCGTGTTCAAATTGTATATAAAAAAAGGATCTTTATTGTATTTCCCCCCCACTCTCTATTTTGCCCTTCAAGAACAAGTTTTGTAATGGTGACAGTTTCACATATAAGAAACTTTTAATTTCTTATATGGGATCGTAATAAAAATCTTATTTTTATTTCATCCTGACTCTTAAATCGCTTTTGATTTATATTAGATTGAGGAGGTTTTTTTTTATTTGGAAAATTCTGATTTTTTAATTATTATTTTTAGTTAATAATTTTAATCTGGATAAAAAGATTTTTTTGAAGCAGATGAGGAGGGGTAAACCTCTTTTTTCACCCTTGAAAATGAGATGTATTTTGAAAGTAGATGTTGATGTTTCAGAGAAAAAGATTACTTATCTGATTTCTTTTGTTTGACTCTTCAATCTCTTTCATTAATAATTTATGTTTCATCTTATGTATCTTTCAATCTGCATTTTTTTTTTCAACAAGCAATCATTCAGTCAAATCAGTTCATTATAACAATTTTCTGAAAAAAATATTTCGAAAAGTTTCTTTTCTATTGATTTTAACAATTACTGGCCACAACCCAGAGAGTAATCTTGTTGACCAGGGAAGAGTAGAAAATGTTTTTTTTAGTAAAAGGGGAATTATAATTATTACATTTACATTAAAAATCTAATTTTACTAAATTATTTCAAAAATAAAAAAAAAATAAAATTCGAAAAAAATTTCCCACAAATTAAAAATCTGGAGTAATTTAAAATAATATATTTTTTAATAATATAATTTAAAAATTATATTTTTGAAATAATTTAAATGTGTCGAAGCGATCTTGGATCTTTATACCTGCGTAGGAATTGTTTACATTATAATACAATGTCTTATAGACTAAAAGTCATAAACAATGTAATTAGAATATCCCAATAATAATCAAATCAGTTGTAATTCGTCCATTGACCTGTTCAGAAGTTAATGTGGAAGTATAAATTTTATTTAAAATCTAACTTTGGCTGTGATAAATTATTTTCTCTCAACTTTTTATATCAAGAACAAAAATTATTTAGAGTTAAATATTTTTTGTTATTTTAATAAATTTTTTATTCCGAGAGTGTTCGAAATTCTTAAAATCGCGATCGTTTATATAAATAATTATAAAAAGTATTTTATTTTTTAATTCGGGAGTGTTCGAAATTTTTTAAATCGCGAGTGCGTTTCCATCAGAACATGGCGTCCGAAATATGTGATACTACATCAGTTGCAGTTGACTAAGGTTAGAGATACACTTCTTTAAAATGATAATAATAGTAACAATAATAATATAAATTTATGTATAATTTTTTTTTAGTCTATAATAGAATTGCCCCCATTTTGCGAGAAATTTATCGATAATAAAATAACATTTTTTTTTTACCAATTGAATATGAAGAAAATAAAAAACTCTCCTTTTGTCCATCAAAACTGTTTCTATAAAAATACAACTAGACTTTTTAAAGTAATAAATAAAAATGTCAGGAAAAAAAAAATTCTATAACAATAATATATACTGACTCAATATATATGATGATTATAGAAAGATCTAAATATATATAAGGCTACTGAAAATCCGTGAAAAAAAAAATGTTTTGTGAATAAAAGTAGCATTATAACCATGAAAACATGTTTGACCAAAAATGCGATTTTCTTTCATAAAAACCACCTTTTCGAATGGCTATGCTATTTAAATAAAAGTGGCAAAAGAATGCCATCAACTTGTCTGAGCCTATACATTTATATAGCGTTTTTATGAATGGAATGAGAGAGAGAAGAGCTTGAGCTTCTTCTTTCCACCGAAATTCCCGTTGATAAAAACCAAATGGGGCAGTGTGTGCTCACATTGTTCAAAAAGGCACTTGGTCTTTTTTACGCAACACTCTCTTTCTCTTCTTAGAATTTTCTTCCAAATTCTCAAGCATTCTGATCGTTCTCTTCATTCACAAATTCGACCTGAAAGACGTGTATCTCTCGTCCATTGATATATATACTTTGGCGTTATATGAAAAAGGTTACGTTAAACACAACAAAACGTAAATTTACGGAAAAAAAAGAATGTTTATATATACCTAATTTATGAAAGACTTTCGCGTGATTAAACTGCAGGTAGAATAAAATAACAGATATCATTTTAGGAATATAAAATGAAGATTACCCAATTTTTTTAATCTCTTTTTTGTGTAGTGAAATTTTTTTATATAATAATTAATTTTTACTATTATTCTAGAAGGTAATCACATTTTTCAAGAAGCAATTTAGTATTATTTTCAATAATAATTCTATTATAAAAAAAAGGTAATCGTTTAAAATGTCTCCAAATGTTATTTTGGTACATCGGATGCTGTATAGGTCCTATTAAAAAGTGCATACATTTTTGGTAGAGCACTATTTGGAAATAACTCTCCTGCTATGATTGAAATTTCATTTAGAAAAATTAAAATTTCGTAATTTTTTGGCCACTTTGGTCCATTGTAGTTCGGATGCTGTAAGTCGTATTAAAAAAAACCTAATATACATTTGTCGTAGATTCTTAAATCTATTTCTATTATTCCCAAAAGTTTATCCCGAAAATTTTCAAAATTTGTTTTCCACTTTGGTCCATTGTAGCTCGGATGCTGTAGGTCGTATCAAAAAATGCCCTATACATTTTTTGTAGAGCT